AGTCCGACTGGTGCTGCGTCATTGCGTCATCGTTTGCATCATGACGTAACCGTTTGCGTGCCTGCTTCATAAAGCCAAACCACGCGGAAACCCCTCACAGCTGACACCGACAACAATGGCCGATTGTGCTCCAGCTTCCTCTGTACCTCTTCGGAAGACCAGATTCCCAGTAGGTAGCTGGTCTCTTCAGTAGACCACTGCTGCTTGTTAAGTTTTTCCATCGTTGTGTACAAACTGGATAAAACGCCTCCTTTTTGTTGTTGTTCAGGAGTTGATCCCGCCCCTGCCCCTGCCCCCGCCTCGACGTAAGCGTGACGTATGTGGTGCTTTTGCTCTGGCCGGACAATTTTTTGGTGCTCGAAATGAACCGGATTCCGGAGCTAAGAGGCTGCTCCGCTGCGGTGTGAAGAGGAAAACCCGGTGCTTTTCAAGCTCCAGCTCCGAACCGGCCCTGAAACACCGTTGGTGTGAATGAGGTATATAAGAACTGGATACAGCGTGGGAGGCGGGGTCTCGTTCTTTCCTATGAGAGCTGCTCATTAGCGCATGAGAACAAAATGGCCCAACTTTTGAGAGATCAATGCATTTGAGTTGATTTTTTCTTTCTGTAATAAAATGTGGTCCTCCAAGGCTGCAATCTGAATCATCACTCACCTTGGATATCATTTGTTACTTTTGTATTTTGCATTTATTGGAACATATCTGTGATACAAAACAGTTTGTAAGGGAAGGTGTTCACCCTGAGATCTCAATTACTGTGCAGCCGTTGACAGTGTCTGCCTCCACCTCCACCTCTAGGTTTGCCAAGGCGACTTCTGGGAGAATGAGTATAGTTTTAACACTCCTAGCCTCCACACTCTGCTCCTCTTCCTGGTCACAGTGTCGATCAGAGGTAGGGTCATAGTGAAAGAAAGGACTAACGATCATGTGATTGTTGTTCTTGTTTTCGTTGCCACAACCAATGTGATTTTGCTTTTTCGCCTGTATGTGTCTGATCACGAGTACACTGCATATGAGCAATATCAGCAAGCAGGACAAGACGATAACAGCTGCCTTCAATGTCCTGACAAGAGTGCTAGGGTCCTGAACCTGGACGAAGTACTGGACCACCGTCTTCCGGTGCACTTTACCCTTTACTGTTTCCACTGTCTCACAGGTGTAAATGCCAGACTCAGAATAGGAAGGTCTGATGATGAGTCCCAGGCTCAGTACAGTGTGTCGGGGACCTGGAAGGAGGATTCGGTCCGAGAGGCGCCAGCTGATTGGGAGGTTTGTTTCAGGGGAACATGGAAGGAACTGCGCTATCCTGATGTTCAGGTGGACAATGGGATGTTTCTTTTTCACTGAGGAAGATTACACCAGATCACCAACAGACTTGTTGCATTTCTATGTTTCCTAAGGATTTTTTTATGTGTCTTATCATATGAATAATCTGTTATCAACCGTGAACCATAATTTCAATGATAAAACATTTATTATTGTTTGACTTACAATCAGAAATGGGGCACATCTGGAGGTCTCCATCAGTCAAACTCTGAATTCTGCAAGAAGAGAAAATATTTCTTTCTAATGGACAGCAGTGTAAAACTCCTCCAGATTTATAGAAGCCATTAAGAAATGATTGTACTTTATTAATTTGCATCTTTGAAGTTAATTCTAGCATTTCGGTCACAACATTTATTTTTTCCATCTTCATGCATCACAGCTGGTTCAAGAAAAACACAAGATGGCAATGGACAAATGCCAAACTAAAGTCTTCTAAACCGTAGTCCACACACCAATTAGTAACTTCATGGTGATTATACAGTCTATGGTAATAATTGACTATTGAAAGTAAAACAATATAAGAGTTTCATTTACATAGACTTAAGAAATGCGCCGACAACTGACACACACTGGCCGCTGATCATGTCCCAGCCACAGTAAGGGTCTCTGGCAATAAGGCAGTCATCGCATGATGTGTAGCGGCTACAGTCCCTTACATTAACTTGAACAGCAACGCCATTGGCACCACCGTACAATTGGCCCTACAGAAACAAAAGTTCAGGACTGAGTTTAGAGACTCCCTAAAAGTTGTTCAAGTCTCAAGGAATTTCACATTTTTTGATTGGAATTTTGAAACAACTCTAGGGACTTGGGCCCTACTGTTTTGGAAGACAGCTGGAGAAAGTTGACAGGCTGAGGAGTTGGAAACACTTGCAGCTCCTCGATGATGCGGCCTTCCTCACCATCAAACCTCACTGCCTTCTGAAGCCAACCAGAGTCTATTGGAGATGAATTACATGGATTGAATAAACCAAAGCATGTGTGTTATTGGGTTGGATACAATGTCTGCACAAGCTTGTTGCATACCTGTGCCAATAAACATCACTTGATGCAGTTGTCCATCAAGTGATGTGACTTGGTCAACTACAATTTTGGAGAAAAATGTCCCAATGCGGACCAACAGAGGCTTGCCAGTGATCGGTGTGACAGCCCCTTCCATCAGAGGGTGGTTCTTCACAAACAGCAGGGTTTTGTCTGAGAAGTCGAGAGAGGTCATCACACCTTCCGCCCGCAGTTCATCGTTAATGCACTGAAAGAACGAGACCGAAACAAATCTATTTGATAAACCCTATTAATTATGTGATTTATTGTTCTATGCTTGATACTTACTGAACCAGGGTGAGGGAATGGCTCCTCTCCTGTGTATGTGTCCCAGCTCCCAGTATCACTCTCAGTCAAAAACCTACCACTGAACACCCGGCTAATGTCGGAGAGCTTGTAGGCACAGACAGCAGACTGAATGCAAGCACCTGAGGACTCCCTGTGACAGACACAGAAAGGATTTCCAGGTATTTTCTATTTCATTTTTCATGTATAACTTAATATATACTCTTTATACAGTCCAAGCAATGACTTACGAGTTAATGGTGAACGTGGCATAAAAGATGCTCTCCCCCCAGTCTTTTTGGTCTTGGAGAAGGAACGCGTCCTGGACCAGGGATGGGGAGCCAACATTGCCAAATGGACAGTCCAAATGGACCTTTAAGAAAGAAGTCCATTTTCCCTGCAGGGTCCTTTGGCCCCCCATGTCACTCTAAATAATCGTTATGATTACCATTAGCTTAATTTTCATTTATGGATACGTTGAGCTATAGTGCAGGTTTTTTAAGTTTCTCAATCGGATGAATTTGCAGACGGACCTTACAGACACGGGCAATTCTTGACACCTGTATGTTGCCATGACGTTCCTCTACAGCGTTCTCAGTGAAGAACAACACAACAAAGTCGTCTATACCGTGCTCACTGTTTTTGCTTGCTTCAACGAGGCTTAAGGATATCATGGTAGGCTCTAAAAACGGAAGCATAAAAGGTCGGAAAACAAAAGACTCAAGTCTGTACGATGATGAACAGAATAAAATGTTGCATGATTCTGTTTAGTATGTAAGAGCAACTTGCCATTGAACCAGGAGAGTAACATTTCAGTCTTGAGAGGGTTCAGTCCATGTCTCTGAAACACCAGTTCTGTGCCAAGAAAGTTTGAGGAAGTGGCCGAGTATAAAGTGTTTCCTGTCAAGTTAAAACAAAACAGTTGTGCGTCATTATTTTTGTCAAAACTCTAACAAACGTTGCATTTTTTCTGACCCTAACCTTATTACAACCAGATCGTTATCTCAGGAAAACAGTCATACAAAAAAACTGAAACAAAGTGTTAGAAAATCTGTAAACAGTTATGTACTTACCATTCATTAGGGTGGCAAAGTGTTGGTGAGGGTCAAAGGGAACTTTCCCCCTACTCACCTGCTGATTTCCCTCAAGGGACACATTTCCATTTGTGAAAGTCTGTTGAAGCAAAGGTTAATGTAGTGGGACTCCAAGTCATCCATCAGTTTTCATTTCTTATTGAGCACAAGGGAAAAGTATACCCTGGCTTTGCCCAACTGGGACAAAATCCACAACCTATAAAGTGTTACAATCAACACTTTTTTTCATGACTCTAGTTGCTAATCCAACTATAAACAACTGACTGGCAAAACAAAGACTTGGCCTAAATATTAGCTGGCTACACCAGGCCCTCAGAAATATTGACCTTTGACCTCAGTCGCAAAATGGCAGTCAGACCAAACACCGAGATGTTCCAAAATGTCTCTCATAGTTGCCACAGTTCGGCACATTTACATACCTTCTTATTGCCAGTCATCGTAGTCATTGAATCTTTTTTGATATGATTTGATCAGAAACATTAATTGGAAGTTTATAGACATCGCTTAATCCAATATAACTACTTAATTAAACAGAAACAGCACACAACAAAGCACCTGCCTTCATAATCTCAGTATATTAAATGTTTTGAAAGTTAAATAAATTGACTTACCAAGTAGTCACATGCAGGGTTGAAAGCATTTGTCCCGCACACTAGCATTTTACCATCCTCCAGTGTCTGTAGAGTCCGAATTAAGTTATCACATTCCTGTCGCAAGAACAAAAGTGATTAAAATGAAACTTTATAACCTGGGATGTTGGGAAATATTGCGCTTACTTGCATTTTACTTCTCAGCATACCTTAGTGTCCTTTCCTTTCATTTGACAGAGGGCCTTGTCTGCTGAACTGACCGTCCATTTGGCCTGGAAGAAAAGAGAATACGGGATGACCAAGAACATCTTTAATACTTAATATAAGTGCAAATATAAAGAATTATCGATGTATAAATAGTTCAAATAGTACGTGATTCTTATGCCAGCAGATTTGTTGAAAGCCGTGTTATTTATTTTGTTCTTTTTTTGGTGTGGTATGTACAAATCTGAAGGTCTTACCTCACTGGTCTTTTGGGTGATGTCATCCAAGTTGAGTGTGAACACTTTCCCTCTGGCTCCGACCACAAGCTGGCCGATATCATCTCTTATCATCAAAGAGCTCAAGCTGCTAAAACCGGACTCTTCGAACTGCTTTAAGTTCATGTCTAAACCACAGAAAAATACAGGGAGCTGAAGGTGTTCAGATCTATTTATGCTCAAACAGTTCAGTTGTTCAATGTTCAATTGTCCTACTGTATAGCCTTTAATTTAAATGTATTTATCTAAGTATCTAGGACAAAAAAATCAATGCGATTTTATTATTGGATTTTGGTATATTGCTGAAAATAAGCTCTGTGGCAACGCATGACATGTTTGGTTCAGCAGGATTATCTCCACAAATAAACTACACTTCATGATTTTTGAAAAAGAAATTCAATCGCCAGAAGTAAAAAGCTAACCTTAGGTTATAAACATAATTAAATTACGGTTGCGTGACTGCGCATCAGCACCGCTAAGCTAAGGCAGACTTGTGTTGGCGTGATGGGATGGCGTTCAGTAGTGTTATTTAGTCACTTGTTAGCGAACGCTGTTTTTAATGACGCAAAGACGCTTCAGATATTCACAAGTGGGATATTTACTGTATATTGTATGTGGTGGAACAAAATATGAAAATCTTGTAACCTTATGTTAGCCACAGACCTTAGTTCAGACTTCTAACAACAAACACATTAAAAAAAAAAAGCTGACATCTAGACGAGGGGAACAGGAAGTGGTAAAATGCTAACTAATGCCCGGTGTTAGGACTCATTCCTGCCTAACTCTACAATCTACAGTCTGTATGTGGCTATGGCTAAGGGGGGTAAAAGTGATAATCTGCCAATTATGGGATCACTGGTGCGATCCCGAACCCTGCAATCAACATGTCAAAGTGTCCTTGGGCAAGATGGTAGACATGAACGTTTAAGTGTAATAAGTCCCTTTGGATAAAGGCGTCAACTGAATAGCATGTAATGTTTTCCCTTGGCTACTATACCTCAAAACTGTTACTGGTAGTGGATGTGTATTTTGTTAATTGTATGTCTGTTGTAGTCATACTGTATATTCAGCATGTCTTGTAACAATACAGTGTCATCATTGCTCGCTTAAAATTACCATCTGTAGTCTAAATGTACAAAAGTATATGCCTTACCTTGGAAAGAAACACTCCTGCGGGGTTTGTTGCTTACTGTAAGGCTTTCACCGATGATGAGGAGGAAACAACAGAGCACCACAGGATGTCTCATCATAACCTATACGCTGTAGTACAGTAGGTCAATAAAACATACAATTTAGATCAGATTTCTGGCAGATATATTAACTCTCATAGCAATCATTTATCATAGCAGTGACTCAGCATGCAACAGGATTATGTAATAAGGACACACAAAAAGGTGTGTTGGTGTATAGACTGCCTGAATATGCTTCATGAAAGGTAGGATTCCTTCTAAATAAAATCTCTGATCCGACGACACATTTTTTATAATAACTATCTTTACTATAGATAGATAGATAGATAGATATAATTGGAGGGATGAAACCCTCTTTAATGGACACACGTGCAGATCTTCCAGAGGTTGAAAAAGTACTCAGATCTTATACTTAAAAGTAGAAGTACTAGATTCTAGGAATATGATAAACCCTATTACATGTAAAAGTCCTGCAGTCAAAAATGTGACTCAAGTAAAAGTACAAAAGTATCAGCATCAAAAATATACTTAAAGTATCAAAAGTAGAAGTAGTGATTGTGCAGATTTGGTCCATTTCAGAATAATATGATATGTTTTATAATTATTGATGATTAAAGTGTTATCAAAGCTGGTAGAGGTGCAGCTAGTTTTAATAACTTTGTATACAGGGTAGCTTGTGAATTTACTCCAGGTGGAACTAAACTCTGATTTAAGAGTTGATTATATTTCACATCATTAAGCACATCTGTAAAGTAACTAAAGGCAGTGCTTGAATTGGGCCGGTACTCACCGGTACGCAGTACCGGCACTTCTGATTTTTACCCATGTGGTACCGGCACTTCTTACTGAGTACCGGCAAGGTGCAAGGTGCCGGTACTCAGTAAAATGCCGGTACTCAGCCGCCGGCAATATACTTCTATTTCGTATATGGCTTCGCCCTCTAAGGCTATCGCTATTGGGTAATCCCCCTGCGCCCCCGAGCAGCACTGAAACACTTGTAGTCCACGCCCACCCGCAAGGTGGGCCCCACCCTCGGGCCTCCTTCCGGTATAAATAGGAAGGTGGCCCGGCAATCAGCTCCCTCTTTTTTCAAGCAAACCAGCACAGTTACTGAAGCACAGCAATTGAGAATCATCATGAGCAACAACTGCGTCCGTGGTTGTCCCCAGTGGCGGTTCTACGAGGTGGCAGGGGGTGGCAGCTGCCACCTCAGAAAAATGCCTTGCCACCCCAGCTGCCACCCCATTTGGCAGCTTTGTTTTGAAAGAAAAGTTGTGGCTCATCGGACATTTATGAGAGAAAATCTCTAATGTCCGAGTGCAAGTCAATGCAGCACAAGACGCGAGCCTTGTAACCCCTCCCCCCCCCCTGGCGCGAGCTTGGAAATCTGATTGGCGGCGATTTCATTTGAACGGGAGGACAGCGCAAAACGAGAAGCATTTCTGATACAAGTAGACAGAAGGAATGAGGTATTTGCGGTCAGGGTATGGCTGGGGTAGGCTACAGCCATACCAATAAATGGCTTAGCCCCACCATGAACAATGATGTTAAAGTAAGCAAAATAAAGTCTGCCAACTC